ATGAGTGATATATATATGTATATATACGTATATATATATATGTATATATATACGTATATATACATACATATATTCAGAAGGGTATATAAACTTATATGTACAGATTTAAGATTAATAGTAAGATGAATAGTTGTCTAACTGACATTGGATTAAGAACCTGACCATTACTAGTACTTTAGAGGACCCATGTACTATTCCCAATGGTACCCTTCTCCCTTTCTCACCTGCCTCCCTGACCATGCTCCTGGATTTTTTTTTTGTACTAGGGATTGAATCTAGGGGCACTCTATCACTGAGATACATCCCTAGTCCTTTTTAAATTTTTATTTTGAAACAGGGTCTCTAGAAGTTGCCAAGGCTGTTCTTGAACTCGTGATCCTCTTGCCTCAGTCTCTTGAGTCACTGAGATTGTAGGTGTGCACCATCACACCTGGTTGCATTCCTGGCTTTTGCATCTTCAAGTCCCTTTCTTTTCATTGTAGTTTACTACCTGTGTAAGTATCACTAAATGATTTATTCTTTACTTTTCCCTACTTTCCTGCTTTACTAAATGAAATTATATTTCTTTATCTGTGACCTGCTTCTATGGCTCAGTGTTTTTGAGATTCATCCAAGTGGATGTATTTAGCTCTGATTCATTTATTCTCACTGCTGAATGTATTTGTACAGTAGAATGAACTCATGAGTAGACTACGATTAATTCATCTATCCTGCTGTTATTGATGCTCTGGTTGTTGGTTTTCAGTTGGTTTGCCTGTACAAATCATGCTGCTTCAGCGTTCTGATTCATGTCTGAGTGTGCATGTGAAGATGCAACCATTTCTTTATGCTACAAACCTAGTTGTGGGACTGCTGTGTCATAGTGGATGCAGATATTCAACTTTCCTAGGCTGTTTTCAAGTATTTGCACTTCCTCGTGGGTTTTGATGCAAAAATGTTAAAATGCTCAATATGTGCTACAATTCATAATGAAGTTGTAAATATGAATGGTGAACAGGTTTTCAGGCAAAAACAATGTGAATCTATAATTTAGGACAACTGACTAATAGTTTATTGGTTTTGTACAAGTTGCTTTAAAAGATTATTTCAAAAAGGAGGCAAAATGATGAATTACTGAAAATTGGTTTTTAATAAATTATTGATCCATTTGCTCCCAGTCCAATGCATGGTCTCTTGAGAAATTTTCTCATAGTGGCATAAAATTACTGAAGTTTCATTATGTATTTGAGCAAACCACAATGATCTTTTGTAAATTAATCAAGTTTTCTTCTTTAAACAAATTTGAAAAGTGTTTCTTGTAAAAAAAATCTGATGAAATTTTAAGGGAGATTTACTTTTTAAAGTTTTATTTTATTACTAATGCCGATATTACTTTAATTAATACATTTTTGTATCTTGAATAAACTAGGGTTCTAAACTTGCAGGGTAAGGACAGTGCACACTCAGGTTCACTTGGAGTGAACACTCAGGACAAGGTATCAGGATTTCTTTGGTAGGCTGAACTCTGGTGCAAAGAATTTGATCTCTGAGAATTTGATTGGTTTTCAGTAGTTAAGGTTTATCTTCATTAGAGAAAGAAATTAAGAAAAAAACCCCAAGATACTTATGTTGCATACTTAAAAACATCCATAGCCACATTCAAGTACAACAACAGAACTTTTCATCATCAAGGAGAGTAAGGAAAATCTGTTTTCAAGGTCATTTACCTTAGTTTTTCAGAGGGACTGCTGTCCATGCAGTGTGTAACAGGGAGGTCAAGTTTATATTCAGTGAGAAACCACTTCATTTTCTCACTGATATCCCACATTTGTGTAAAAACAGGCTTCAAGCATTTACTGTCATTCTTTTATTTAAAAAAATTTTTGTAGTTGTAGACAGACAGAATGCCTATATTTTATTTGCTTATTTTTATGTGGTGCTAAGGATAGAACCTAGTGCCTCATGTATACTAGGCAAAGCACTCTGCCCTTTACTGCCATTCTTGATAACCTAAACTGTAGGTTGGGATGTGTGTGTGTGTGTGTGTGTGTGTGTGTGTGTGTGTGTGTGTGTGTGTGTGGTTCAGGGGCACTTAACCACTGAACCACCTCCCTAGTTTTTGAGACAGGGCTTCGCTAAGTTGCTGATGCTAGCTTTGATTTTTGTAATCCTACTGCCTCCGCTACTGAGCCTCTAGAATTACAGGTGTGAGCCATTGTGCCAGTGGGACATTCTAATTTAGTAAAAATGTAAGGATGGAAGCCAACCCTAAGAGAAAAAAAAAAAGACATGATGTAGAACCTATTGTTGTTACTGGGATTTGAACCCGAGGTGCTCTACTGCTGAGTCACATCTTCAGCCCTATTTGTTTTTTATTTTGAGACAGAGTCTTGCTAGGTTGACCAGGCTGGCATGAACTTGTGGTCCTCAGGCCTCCGAAGTCCCTGGAATTACAAGCATGTGCCAACTCTATGCTGGGTTTCATGGCCGTTCTATGTCACGCATATTGCCAGCTACTTGGTGATATCTCACATCCTGAATTATTTTGAAGCAAATTCCATAAATATGAAAAATCCCATAAAATTTTCATCCATAAATATGACCAGTTTGAATCTCTGAAAGATATGTCCTCTTTCAAACACATGATATAGAGCAAGTTATTTAAAAAATTACTATTTTCTAATCTCAAACAATTTGTCAGTCTTCTGAATCTCCCTGATTGTTTTCGTGTGTGTGTGTGTGTGTGTGTGTGTGTGTGTGTGTGTGTGTGGGAGAGAGAGAGAGAGAGAGAGAGAGAAAGGGAGAGGGAGAGAATGTGTGTGCTTGCATTCTGGTGCATTTATACTTCGATTGGTGGAATTAGGATGCAAATAAGGTCCATACCTTGCATTAGATTTATTTCATGAGTGTCTTTTTATGGGTTCTCCTTTCCTGTTTTCTTTTTTCTCTTTCCTGACCAACTGAAAAATTTTTATGTGGTCAAAATTATCCATATTTGCTTTACTGTTCTGGATTTTGTGTTATGGTTAGGGGAAGAATTTTCTGCTCCCAAGTAAAATACATTTACTCATATTTTCTTCTGTATGATTTCACATTTTACTTTAAACCTTTGATCCATTTGGAATTTATTCTACTGTATGGTGTGAAGAATGGTTCCAATTTTGCATTTTCCAAATGACTATTCATATTTCCCAGCATCATTTGTAAAGTGCCTGTCTTCTCCCCGAGTGCTCTTTTTAATTTTCTTAACCCATTTTTCAAGAGAGAACGTTATTGTGAGAATATTGGATAAGTACTATTCAGACCTTGTAACAAATAAGGCAATCCATAAATATGACATAGAAAAAATATGTTCATATATTATTAAAAGAAAAGAGATGCAGAAGGTATGTATTATGAATCAACTTCTGTATAAAATCATTTATATATGTGCAGGAAAATATCTGGCAAGATATTATTTAAACTGTCAATGATGATGATTGACAGTGTACCTTTTATGGGGAGATTGAGGGAATAGAGTTTTTATTTTTTTTCCTTGTATATTTTAGTACTTATTTATTTTATAATGTGCACATATTATGCTGAGTTTCAAAATTTGAATAAAAAATAGGTCATTAACATATCCTGAACTTCATTTAGTGCATATTTAGTGAGTTCCACTGTGTGCTGGGTTTGTCTTTCTGCTGAGTCTGTTTCTCCCGCCCCATATTTTCTAGTTATCCACTTTCTCTGTTTCTGTTTTTTCCTCTGTGAAAAAAAGGCAGTTTCAGGATGCACTCAGGATAGATAATTAGGAGACCTGATTTCTGGTCCCCCCTTTACCAGGCAGCTCCATGAATTTGGAAACATTGCTTCTCTGACCCTCTGGGTCTACACCTGTTAAATATGAGGGCTTGGCTCAGTTCCTCTCTGTCTTGGGGTGTCCATCTCTGAAATTGTGTGTCCTCATAATATTTATGTGCCCTTTGTATGCATCATCAGCCCAATCCCATTCTGGCCAGGCTGGCAAATTTCAGTACCTGTACATTCACACTGACTGGGAAGATAATCATTGAGCATGTACTCTGTTTAGTTATGCCCATTCTCCAGATCGGGATAATGATTTACATTTACATTTTAAAAGTGTCATAGTTGGCAAATAGAAGGACAATATTTTTGGCAATTAAATAAGCCCTTTGAATAATCAGGTTTTTCTTTGATATTGAAGTTATTTTACCTCTTTCGATAATATTTTTGAGTAACACTTTTAATATAGTCTTTGTTCTAATTTTATGAGTACAGTATGATTGCATTTATTAATATACTCACTAAAGTAAGTTCAGCTATATGTAAGTGATTCTAGGTGTTTTAAGATGCTTCTTTTTCATTCATCATGGACTTCAGATGCAAGCTGACTACCTCATCTAGTGCTTGGCTGAAGAAACAGCTTTATGTTCCAAACCCACAGGAATTACTGGTTGGGTTGATCAATGCATATCTGAGTACTGTATTTGGTGCACATTTAGAGGGATTCAATTTTTAACTATCCACAATTTTTCACATTACAAGTTGCCATTGGAAAGCAATACTGTCATTGAGTTTATTTCTCTTGTAATATATCTTCACTGCAGAAAATTTGAAAAAGAAAATATGGACAAAGAGGAAGATGAAAGTAATTGGTCATCTCTATAAAGAGAGAGCAATTGTAATGATTGTGAAAGATGAATATTGCTCCAATGTTTATTATATGCAAATAATTATGAGGTAGGAGTCAAATTGGAGATATTACCCTGAATACTTTCCCACCCTATATTCCTTTGTACTCTGTCCTGTGTCACCCCTCCTCCCACTTATTTTATTTTTTCATCATTAATTTTTTTTAGTGGTTGATTAACGTTTTCTAAAAAATTATTTTATATGTGGTGCATATGAATCAAACCCAGTGCCTCACACATGCTAGGCAAGCATTCTACCACTGAGCCCTGACCCCCACCCCTCTCCTATTGCTTTTTAAAGGCTCAAAATTGCCTTTTGAAACTTACATCTGAATTTAGAAGCCTTGAAATTCAAGTTCTAGAAGTGAATATTTTTGAAAGTCCATGTTCCAAAGAGTTCAGTGCCTAGAATTGCCTGGAGTAAACAAGAAGGGAAGAAAAGTCAAGTTCCCTGGTCCCAGGGGAGATGAAGAATTCTCTGTGCCAGAGGAAGGCATGTAGGAATGGGACACAGAACTTTGGCAAGAGTTAGACGAATGGGTCTGAGAGGGATGACATAGACCCTCTGGAGGGGACCAGTACTTAGCTGCTTCCCTAAGTTGCTCTGTCTCCGTGAGTACCATCTGGGAGCCTTGAGGGAACTGCATAAGACCACGCCCGTGGACCACCTGCCCGATGTAACTGCTTCACCAGAGCCACAGAAAACAGTCAGCAGTTCCTTCCCTGCCATGGCACTAGGACCACCCACGGAGATCAGCCAGTGGGTCTCTGGCACATTGATCAATTTGCTTGTGTGTTGGCCATCTGTTCCCAGAGATGCTGGTATTCCCCATCTGAATTACTTTGTGTGGCTAGTACCACTCTTCAAAGGTCAAGAATATCTGTGAGCCCTAGTGACCCCTGGAAGGGCAGCAGTGAGGTCACAGGGAAAGACTAGTTTGGTACTTTGGCGGAACTACATGAAATCAGCTCTCTGAAGCACATAACTCACCTCTTAGCTATCCAAAATTGGGGCCATTCTGTACAGACTATTACGAGACTCTACTTTTGCACCTTATAATCTATCATGTGTCTTCCCCTCATGATTAGTCTTCCAGGTAGTGATTTTAGAGTCGATTTTAGGCTTAAAGTATCCCATCACATGAAGTTATATATCATGATTTATTTTAAAAATCCTCTTTTGTTGGACATCAAAATGACTGCCAGTGTTTTTCTGTTACTAATAATGCAACAATGACTTTCATTGTCTTAAATCTTTTTGAATGTCTGAATTTTTTAAAATCTTAAAAATACGACAAGATACTGTGAACAATATTGTCTGGGCTTTGGCTTAATTTTCCATGATTATTAGCAGCCTTTAAGGCAGCTGAAGCCCCAGCTGCAATGCAGATGGGCAAAGCCTGCAGAGACTCTGAATGGGCTTAACACTCTGGGTGGGGGAACAAAGACAGACACAGGAATATAAGATTGCCACAGAAACATAATTCCTAGTTAGGTACTCATCTTGATATCTAACCCATGTCTCAGATTCTGATGACCAGTGTATATCAATTGAGGTCCCATTCTGCTCAGCAGTCTCAGAGGGGACTCTGCACTTCCCAGTAGCCTTTGTCCTGGGAAGTCCAGTCTGAGTCAGCCTCACACACGAACAGAAAAACCATAAAATATTAATGTGTCATACTGACTTTGTTGCACACATTTGGAGAGTGGCAGTCTCGTCCAAATCAATAAGCTTTGAATTATGCATAAGAGTGCCACAAAGTCACACGTATCCTTTGGGTTACATTGGTGGGAGGACTAGGAGCAGAGATGGAGGAGGATGCCAATCAAGGAGCGGCACAATCCCTTCTCTCCATCTTTTCACCGCAGAACAAGATCATTCAGTGCTGGAGAAGGAAGTATGAGACTCACCCAACATCTCAGGACTTGGAAGCACAATGTTGGGAGAAGCCACTGAGTCATTTGACTTTTCTTCTTTGATATTGGGGAGAGAGGAAAACATTTCAGCATATTTACGTCTGCTTCCCTAGAATGAATATGTACTCATTATGATAAATTTGGAAAATACAGAAAGATTAAATTAAAATTTTTTTTTCCATTTAAACAGACATCATTTTTCAGAACAGTTTTAGGTTAACAGAAAAAAATTGTGGAAAATTCCTGAGGAGTTTTCTGCTCTGTGGTATGGTCCTCTGTATCTGCTGTGCTGTCTCTCTCTCTAATTTTGGGATAGTCATTTGCCCTGTAACCTCACTTCTCTGAGGATCTAGGAGAAGTTATTGATATTTCAGTTTGTTTAGCTTTTGATTTGTTGTTAGGATGAAGTAGTGGCTTTCGATCTTCTCATATGTCTGACTGGAAACTGGAAGTCTCAGAATGATAATTCGAAAAATGCGTCTGGACAGCCTAGTAAGATTTTTTTCTTTTTGGTACTGGAGATTGAACCCAGGGACAATTTACCAGTAAGCTACAACCTCAGCCCTTTTTGATACAGGGTCTTGCTTAATTGCCGAGGCTGGCCTTCAACTTGTGATCCTCCTGCCTCAGCCTCTGGAGTAACCTGGATTACAGGGGTGTGCCACTGTGCCTGGCCTAACAAGATTTGAACACTGTCAACTATTCTGATGATATCTCTATAAAATGACACATAAATAATGTATGAATATGATTCATTCATACATATGTAAAATATGTAACTGCTTTCATAAAATTTGATTAAGGTTTGCCCAGCTTTGTATTTAGATGTTTTACTTAATTTTCACTTATATTTTTTCTGTCATTATATATTCTTGTCAACAGGAGGAAACATCAATCATCTAACATAACTAAGAGGGTACAGCAGAAAACTCACTGAGGAAGTCGAGAGACTTTGGCAATTAACAAAATGATCGGTGAGCCTTTAAGATGGCATAAAATTCTTATAGTACAGTTAAAAAAAAACATAGCCTTTTTATCTTTGTTGAGGTTACAGAGATAAATAGAACACAGACTTTGGATTTAGGGGCACATACCTAGCTAAGGAGAAGGCTAAATGACAATCATAGTAAAATATGGCCGGTGCTGTGGTGTACGTGATGTTTAGGAGAGCTGAGCAAAAGCTTTTTTACCTACCTTGGGTGGTTTCCTAAAATGGTAACAACTGAGCTGAGTTTTTAATAATGGTAAAGACTAGGCTGATAAAGACGAGGCTGAGGAAGATCTCTTAAGAGAGATAACATCTATGAAAAGATGGAAGGGAGGACCCAAGGATGGTATTGAATGGCAAATGGAGTCAGAGTGCATTGATTCAGGAAAAGATAAGACCTGGGCTGAGAGGAAGCACCAAGTTCCTCCTTAGTTATTAGATTCATTTTGGTCTCAAAGCATGGTATCTGAATGAAAAGGGAACAGCAACTCATAAACCTATGTAGAGCAGAATCTGTCACTTGCTTTGTCAAAGCCAAGCCTCCCCAGTGGGGCTGTGCTCAACGAATCCTATTTTGGAAGCAGTGGAACAAGGATCAGTTTAATTTAACATGAGTTTTGTGACTTATAGGGGGCAAACTTCAGTCATCTGAAAAAAAAATCATTTATTTGGTGCCTTTAGAAATGTGACTTTCAATTATTTTCTTAGAAGAACACATAACCACAGCCTATAAAACAAGAATAAGTGAGCAGCTCTACTTAAAACAGGGTGCGTGCGTGTATACAGAAGCACTCAGAGCTCAAACCTCTCAGCATGTCCTTTTGCCCAGAGGACCTAGAACGGCGTGATATGATTTTTGAACTTTGAATTAGATTGGAGAAGTATGAGAGATGAAAGGACATATAGGTGGTCTAACTGAATTGTCCAAACCATTGATTTTAGAAATAGGCACTCTAAGAGTTGGCAAGGGATGTGACTTTTTTTCTATCTGAGGGGTGGGACTGAATGACTTCTGAGGCATTTCTAACAATTCTGATCATTTTATTCCATCACATGCTTTTTTCCACAAAGGGACTCTTGACATAATGGAGCTATCTTGGGCCTCATTCAATAAAACTTCATGAAAGAATAACAAATGCAAGATTTATTAGCTTGGGAACGTTTTCTGTGTACTCTGCACAGTGAGAGTATTTTTATGGTTATTGCCTTCAAAAAGTTTTATAAATTGAAAAATACATATAATATAGACTTTACCATTGTAACCATTAAAAAAAATTTTTTTTTTAGTTTTTGATGGATCTTTATTTTATGTATTCATATGTGGTGCTAAGAATCGAACCTAGTGCCTCACACATGCTAGGCAAGTGCTTTACCACTGAGCCACAACCTTAGTCTGGCAACCATTCTTAAGTGTACAGTCCAGTGACATTTAGAACCCTCACCTGGTTGTGCAACATTACCACCATCCATCTCCAGAATTATTTTTATCTTGCAAAAGTGAAATGCTGTACCCATTAAAAAGTAGCTCTTGCCGGGCTCAGTGGCGCATGCCTATAATCCCAGTGGATAGGAGGCTGAGGCGGGAGGATTGTGAGTTCAAAGCCAACCTCAGCAAAAGCGAGGTGCTAAGCAACTCAGTGAGACTCTGTCTCTAAATTAAATACAAAACAGGGCTGGGGGTGTGGCTCAGTGGTTGAGTGCCCCTGAGTTCAATCCCCAGTACAAAGGCAAAAAAAAAAAGTAACTGTCATTCTCTTCCCCCCAGGTGTCAGCAGCTGTGATTCTACTTTCTATTTCTATGAAAGTAACTATTCCAGGGACCTCATATAAAAGGAATTTTATAGTGTTTGTCCTTCTGTGACCGGCTTATTTCACTTACATAACATCCTCAAGCTTCATACATGTTGTAGCATGTGTCAGAATTTACTTCTTTTTTAAAAATACATTTTGTAGTTGTAGATGGACACAATACCTTTATTTTATTTGTATATTTTTATGTAGTGCTGGGGATTGAACTCAGTGCCTCATGCATGGTAGGCAAGCGTTCTACCACTGAGCCACAGCCCAGCTCCCAGAATTTACTTCTTTTATAATGTTGAATAATATTTTGTTGTTTATAGACCACATTTTGTTTATTCATTCACCTGCCCCTGAACACTTGGGTTCCTCCCCCTCCTTGGTTATTGTGAATATTGCTGTTATGAACATGAATCTAAAAATGTTTGCCAATCCCATCTCCCAGTTTTGTAGGGTATGTACTGATAGGTGTAATTGCTGGATCATACGACAATTCTGTTTTTAATTTTTTTAAGGAACCACTTGTGTTCGTCAGCTTTCTGTCCCTGTAACAAAATTCCGTAGTCAAACAACTTCAAAAGGGGAAAAGTTTATCTTGGCTCATGGTTTAAGAAGTTTCGGAACATAGTTGCTTGGGTCCATCACTTTGGACTTATGACAAGGTTGAACATCACAGCAGGGAATGCATATTGGAACAAAAATGCTCACCTTCTGGTGGTCGGAAGGAAAAGTGAGAGAGGGAGGCAGAGACTGGAGTCCCAACATCCTCTTCAAGCATATGCTCCCAGTGATGTAACTTCCACTAGGCTCACCTCCTAATGTTTCTACCACTTCCCAGCAGCAACACAGGCTGGAGACAAAGATTTGAACACATGAGACTGTGGAGGACACTGCAGATCCAAACGGTAACACCACTGTACTGGTTTCCATCATTTCTGTGCAACTTTACCAACAGGGCACACGAGTTTCTACCAAGTGTACAAAAATATTCAAAATTTTTTCCCTAAATATCTACTCTAATGGGTATGAGGCATTATCTATTATGGTTTTGATTTACATTTTCCTAGTTATGTCAGTGATGTTATGCATCTTTTTATGTGCTTATTGGCATTTGCATATCTTCATTGGAGAAATGTCTTAAGTCTTTTGCCCATTTTTTATTTTTGTTGGTGTTGCTGAGTTGCGAGAGTTCTTTATGTAGTCTTGATATTAATCCTTTATGAGCTATATAACCTGCAAATATTTTCTTCCATTCAGTAGGTTGCTTGTGAATCCATTGACTATGTTATTTGAAGCACAGACACTTAAGTTTGACGTGGTCCAATTTACCTATATTTTCATTTGTTGTTTTTGTTTTTGGTGTCATATTCAAGAAACCATTGTGAAACGTAGTATCATGAAATTTGCCTCATATTTTCTTTTAAGAGATTCATAGTTGTAGCTCTTTCGTTTAGGCTTGTGATCTATTTTGAATAATTTTTTTGTAAAAGGCATAAGATAGAGATTGAGATTCACTCTTTGGCACGTGGATATCCAGTTTTCCTAATGGCATTTATTGAAGCAATGGGACTTCTTGGAGCCACATATCTAGTAGTGGAGATACGGCTAGAATCTAGGTTCTCTTGTTCCAAGTTTTTAGGACCTTCTCAATATTCTTAGTTCTATGCCATTGCCCACCATCTTAGATAACTGAGGTATTCCTCTGTTCACATAAAGATGTGACGGTGCTCAGACTCTCACTGTGCACTTGCATTATAAAAGAATTAATTTGTTTTAGCACATGTTTTTTTTGGACAAGGAAGCCATCCAATGCTCCCTGCTTACCTGGTCATCCAGTTTCCCTCTATTTCACCAATCCACTTAGGCTGGAAAGGAGGCAAACCAAGTCACAAAAATGTGGCTTCAGAGACTCATGTCATCACTCCTTACTTCACACACTTTCCATTACTAAACCACAGGGCTCCTTAAGAACGGAGCATCTTCCCTCAGGGAAAGAAAATGAGCTTGTGCAATGAACTGTAAATATTTGAAGATATGAATTATGAAATGATTAATGTAGGAGATCCAGACTTAGCTAAGTTAATTCTATGCTGCATTCTATCTGCAGAGACTCTGTTTGATCACGATTCTAGTCTAATTTGTATCGAAAACTGCTTTCCATCTAATTTTCTTTGCAGGAGTTTGTACTTAATATATCTCAGAGGGAAATACTAAATCAATCAATGAGTAAAACTACTCTAAAAACACTTTCAAAATGTGTTAAACATGAATAATTTCATGCAGCATAAATCTGTGTAGCCTTCTGTCCACTGGGTCCCCGCATGGTCCAGCTTTGGCATGCTATTGTCTTTTAAAGAGACGCAACTGAATGAAATTAAAAGTAGTTTCAGTCTTTGCTTGCCCATGGATTTGCATCATCATAGATTCAATTCAGAACTCACTTTTCTCTCAGGCTTTCCCTGCTTTGTTTATTCTTTGCTCCTGCCCTTATTCAAATATCCTCCTCAACACCTATCCCACGGCCTTTTCTATTTCATTGGGTCCCCCATTTCTTTGGATCCTTTTTTTTCCCTCTCTTAAACACTTTCTTCCTATTTTTTTTTAACTGACATGTGCAATGAGGTGTTAGGGATGAAGTCCCCTTGCCTCCTTTACTCTGACTACCTTGTCCAGGCCACTGTCATTTCTAGCCAGAATTGCTGCATTCGCCTCTGCACTGGTCTCCTTGCCTCCTCCTTGCCTTTTACACTCTATTCCTAATACAGAAAATTGCAGATGGGAGCTTCACTTTTCTAACTGGTGGTGATGTTTCTGCGTCGTGGTGTACATAGTTCCGTGGAGTTTCTCAGCAAGGCCAATGTCCAGCTGCCCATGGTCAGGACTAGTTTGATAATGTGCTCTTGAGTTTGCTTTCCTTCCTCCTGTTTCCCTTTTGAGAGTCTCCTCACCCTTGAACCCCATTTCCAAAATAAATGACCTTGCAAATCTTTACCTCAGGCTCTGCTTTCTGGGATGACTTAGAGGTTGACATTGGGTACTGGAATGAGCCCTGAAGAAAAGTCCTTTAGCTTGGACTGATTATGTGACTGAGTCTCTCAATGGTCAGATGTCAATGAGGACCCCAGTGTTGGTGGAAAGTGGAGTGTTGCTATCCCTGGGGATGTAGTGCTGTTACAATGATTAAGATTCTCAACGGTGGAGACTTGGGAGGAGAAGGAGATGGGCAGGGAAGAAACACCCATGTAAGTGGAATGGGAACCTTCCTGTTCATGCTCATGAACACAGCTCATGGTCATGTTATGTCCATGTCCTCCTCGTGGTTGTAAAACAGCTGCCAGTGGCAAGCAGGTCTACTTGATTCCTCTTTCATGTCTGTAAGAGGAGAAAGGGTGCCTCAAAGAGTGGGGTTCCCCCTTCCCAGAATGGATTTATAAGCTTCTTTGAATCAATTTCCATAGCAAAGAAAACTGTCGGGTGTGGGTTTCTGAACAAGTCATGGGCAAGGGTGCTGAACTGACTTATTGGAATGTCAGATGTGGAGAGCCGTCGGTGAGTCATGGACACTCCTGGAGTTCACATGAGGGACTGCATTGGGTGGTAGGGAATCGACTGTAGTGTCCATTGCACCCTTCTTCTACTGGGCCCCGACCAGCTTCTCATCTTTTTTTTTTTTTTGGTACTGGAGATTGAACCCAGGGGCCTTTTACCACGGAGTCACATCCCTCCAGCCATTTTTAGTTTTCATTTTGAGACAGGATCTCACTAAGTTGCTCAGGGATTGCTAAGTTGCTGAGGCTGGTCTTGATTGGCAATTCTCCTGCCTCAGCCTCCCACGTGGCTGGGATCACAGGCATGCACCATTGCGCTCTGCAGCTTCCCTTTTTTCCTCAAGATACTAAAATATCACTTTTTTTTTTTTTTTGGTGAAGACTTCTGTGAGGTAGGCTTATCTCCCTTGTGCTACATCTGAACCTATGTGGGTTCAGTAGCAGTCTTACCAGTGAAGGCTCTAGAGCCAGTTTGCTCACCTTCCCCGCTGTGTGACTTAGGGAAACTTGGTTCCCCTCTCTGTACCAGTATTCTCATGAAGTAAAGAGGTACTTAAACTTTACAGAGTTGCTGTGAATATTAAATAAATTAGAACAAATAAATGGCCTGGTATAGTGCCTGATGCATAGTAAGTACTCAATAATGTTAACTATTGCGTGTGTTTGTGTGTGTGTATTTTAATCTTTATATATCTGTTATAGGAATTCATTTCTGGTTATTTTCATGTTTCCAGTGCCTTAAGTGAGTGAGGATCTGTTAAATGAATGAATGAAGAAATAGTATTAAGGATTAGACAAAGAGGAATGAAAGGAAGTGGGGGGATGGGAATAGGAAAGACAGTAGAATGAATCAAACATAACCTTCCTTTGCTTATAAATGAATACATGACCAGTGTAACTCCACATTATGTACAACCACAAGAATGGGATCCTAATTAGAATGGGTTGTACTCCATGTATGTATAACATGTCAAAATATACTCTACTTGCATGTATATCTAAAAGCAAAACAAAACAAACCAAACCATATATATATATCTGGAAGGGAGAGATTGCTATGGAAAGCTGAGTGTGGGGATAGAGTAGTCTGGGCAGAATTATTAGAGGAGGTGGAACCTCAACAGGAGTGTCAATGACAGGGGATTTTTACAGCCAAGGACCAGCCTTAGTATGAGAACTTGTGTGCTAAAGATATAGCAGAAAAACTAAGTACAAAACATTTGAGAGAATAGACCAATTTGCTGGGAATGAGAGGTGTGGGAAAGGAAGGAAGCAGGAGAAGATAGGTGGGTGAACTTAGAATCAAATTCTGGAGGAGTCAAGACTGTGGAATAGAAGAAAAGTGATTCTGAGAAAAGAGATTAGGCTTTGGAATTGTACCACGATTTGCTCTTGGCCCCACCGTTTACTGGTTGTGTGGCCTTTGTTAAATCACCTGACCACTTTAAGCTTGTTTTTGATATCTCTCGAATAAAAATAATGTGCATAACTTGAAGTGCATATTTTTGAGAAGATTAATTAAAATACACACAGAATGCCTTTCAAAATGGTAAGCACCTAATAAAGGCACCTGTTAATTGATTGTTATACTGGCAGAAAGTGTAAAAAGCTTTTTTTTTCTAAACAGGAGAGTGGCATTTCCACATCATCTGATGGTATTATAATTGAATCATCAAAATTTATAGAGTGATAAAAATTCAGGAAATGAACCAAGAAGTCTGCTGGACATTGTCAATGCCTGGAATCACTGTCTTCTTGGTTGGCTGGGAGGCAGAAGAAGGCAATGGAAATATTTCAAATCCTATGCAGGGACTTTGCAGGTTCCTTTTAATTCCCTTTCAAATATAGTTTATAAATCTGCTTTCAAACAACCAACACTTTCCCTATAGAAATTTTTGGTATATTTGCAGGATTAGGTCATGCTCTCCTCCCTAAAAACCAATATCCAGAGGGCTTTCTGAATCAGTTTATATATTGGATTTTGTATGGCCAAATCTGAAATTCGTCTTTGCCACTACAGTGTGTGGAAGAGATTCTGATTCTTTGCATGGTACATTTTTTGTCCTGTTAAAAGTGTGGAGGAGATTTGTCATTCTCATATCCTTATTAGCCAGAGGTCCACAGAGGAAACCCCGGAGCTCTGCAGAATGTTCTGGATTTCCACACCAGCTTACTGGTGACTCCTCCTTTTCAGCCACAAACCAACCGCTGTTGATGACCTCTAGGTCTTCACGTGACATTGAATTTCTTTTCAAAATACTTATGGATTGTAGAATTTCCCATTTCTGCCCTAATTGTCTTTTAACTTTTGCCTTTTTAGGCAAGAAGTTTGGGAAGTTGTTGCATTTATTTCCCCCAAATGAAAACATCAAATCTCCTAGTTGCCTCCCTATCAATAAAGTGAATTATCATACATAACAATAATCTTTTTGTGGGAATAAGACAGAAAATTTGACAGTTGTCCTCATGGTTACTGCAGAAAATAGAGACAAAAATGGTCTTGATTAAATGAGGTTTGTCCTTTGGGTCTAAAGGAACAGAAAATGGTAATTTAATTTCTACAGATGAATTTTGGTGAGAAGTGTGTCTTGAATTTAAAGTGATTTATTTACATATCTGACTCTAAGCAAACCTTAAAAGAATGTTTTAAAAATGATCTTTGCTTCAGATTTTCTGTTAGAAATCAGAATTAGCATTTCTTTTCTTCTTTAGAAAAGAATGTTCTCAACAACTGGGGACAATAGATCTTCATGGTCATCGCCAGCCCTCAGTTTTAGAATGTGAGAGTTTAGCCTCATCCCCTGGCTTCATTACTTCCTATTACATGATCTTTGGCAAGTTACATAACTTGTTGGAAAATGCTCCCTGCCCCATAAAAATGTTATGAGGATTAAAAAGTTAGCAAATGGATTTCTAACTTCTGTTAATAGTTAATAGATAGTTGCAAGTCATTAATCTGTGTATCAACTAAAAAAGAGTCAATTATAGAAATGATGTTTTAAAAGATATCAAAGGGCAGTGGAAGTAAAGACTAGATAAATACATATTCCCCAAAGGGAAGAGCTCCTCTCAGGTGAGCTGATTCTTTTCTTTCCTAGGAGACTTGTTGAGTTTGAGTATGTATTACAGATGAGGCAGGTTGTAGGCAAAGAAGGGAAAACCTGTGGAGTTTTGGAATAACACATGACCACATATGCTGGTTTAACATCTAGAGAAGCTCTAAATGTACAGTTTATCTGATAGGTTGTTTGCTGAATGCTGAGATGAGAGGTATGAGAAACTGAGCACTCTGCTGGAAAGGCAGAATGAAATATTCTAGTTTCACAGTGCTCAGGAGAAAAAATTTCCCTACAGGGAATTTAGTAGGATAGACACAATAAATTGGCTAAAGCTCGAACAAAATTATTCTCTTAAATAACACAGTACTTAAATTGTTTTTTAGGAGAAGCCTTTAGAATGCACTTCAGGACCATTTGGAGCTGACTTTCCAAGGATGGACCTGTATGGAAGTATCCAGATCATCTGCTCAATGACATTTTGACATGATAACCTCAAAGTCACACATGCAGAACATGATGACTGCCCCCCAAAAGAAACATAGGATACGTGAAGAGACTACCTCTGTACAAAAGAACCCTAAAATTTCCCCTTCTCACTATCTAATCAAAAAATAATTCTCTTTCTTCCTGCAAATTTCTGGGATACCATTCATGGGGAAGCAGATCAGCTTGCAGCTTCTGACCTCCTTGCAGGTTAACTGTGCACTGAAGTTCTTCACTTTTGCAAAACCTGGTGCCATATTAGTGGCTTCTATGCATGTGGGGCAGCAAGTGCTTGATCGGTATCAGTAAGATAGATTGCACCCTTGAAACACGAAAACAGAGATTAAATGAATTTTGTGTACAGTCGTTATCCAATCCTATGATTATCTCAATAGATGCCAAAAAGTTGACAAAATTAAATGCATACATATAATTTTTGGCAAACAACAGAAGTAGGAAACTTTAATGTGGTAAAGGTTTACAGAATAAACACTCAAGGGTAGCAGAACGCCCTCCCCCAGACATGCCACTTTGGCATAAGGATGATTTTTGAGTCAAAAGAAGCAGTCATAAGAAAATCTATTTGTCTCTCCTTATTTTCCTAAATTAATAAGGGTGTCTCTCATCCCTTTTCTATCAATCATTGAATGGATATGACTTGAGAGCCTTACCAGTCTGAAGATGGCAGCAGAGAAATCTAAATAGTTAATTTTACCAACTAGTCTTTGTCTACCATTAGGACCCTGTATAATTGCCTTCCCACATTTTACTATCCCTAAAGACTCATGGGTCTTGTCTTTGCCTTGTCATGTCCCTTAAAATTTATTGTTCTTTGTTGAAGGTGGTATGTAAGTTGAAGTTCTAGGCCATGTCTATGAGAATCACTCATTCCTTGGGTTTCTTCCATGTATGTAGGAGACTTACATATTCATAAATTTGGTTGTTTTTCTCTTGTTAATCTGTCCTTTGTTACAGGGCCCCAGCTGAAAGCTTAGAAAGGCAGAAGGAAAATTATTTTTCATTCCCCTGTACAGCCATGGCTAGCATCATACTTAATGGTGAAAATACTTAAGCATCACACAGAAAAATTATGTGCAAGGTCTACCTACAGAATTCCAAAAAATATTACTGAAATTAAAGAGACCAAAATAAATGAAGAGATATACAATGTAAAATTATTATAAGGAAATATTGATAAGGTATTGATTCTCACTAAACCAATTTTGATAAGATTTAAAAAATCTTATCAAAATCTCATTAGGGTTTATATGTATATAATTTGACAATGATTTTAAAGTTCATGTGGAAAAGCTAAGGACCTAAAAGAGCAAGGCATTATAAGTGGAACAAAGTTGGTGGACAAACCCTATCAAATTTAAAGACTTAAAATAAAAATAACCAAATTAAGACAGTGAAGTGTTGACACAGGTTGTGCACATGGACAAAAGAAACAAGATAGAAACAGAACCATACATAGATGGTCACTTGGTTTATAGCAAAGAGGTTACTGTAACTAATCAATAAAAATGGCCTTTTCCATAATGGGTTTTCATCTAGCTATCTTTGGAAAAAATAAACTTTGAACCTACTTCATGCTATATATGAATAGAAGACAACCCAAAATGTATGGGTAAAGCAAAAGCAAAATAAATAAATAAATAAATAAAATAAATCAATAGATGCCTCAATATCATTAATCAGCAAGGAAATAAAAATCATAGTTTGGAAATACCACCATGCCCCTAAGAATGGCTAGAATTAGCAAGATTGACATTGTCAAGTTATAGCAAAGAAATAGGACATCTGGAATTTTCGGATATTGCAATTGGTATTATAAATTGGCACAATCTGCTAAAACAAAAACTTACCTTATGACCCAGGAATTCCACTTTTATTTACACCCTCAAAAGAAAAGGTTATAGATTCTATAAAATGTTTATAATAGCTTTATTCATAACAGCTGAAGACTGAAAGCCACCCAAATGTCCACCCATAGGAGAAGGGATAAATAAATTGTTTTATATTCAGGCAATGAAGTGTTAGGTAACAATAAAAGAGTGACCCTCCAATATATGGAATGTTATGAATGAATCTCACGGACATTATTTTGAGTAAAAGAGGCCATGCACAAAACAGTACATACTGTATGATTCCATTCACATGTGGTCCAAGAATAGGCAATACAAACTGATGCTGCAAGGGATCAGGATAGTGGTTACATTTGGGGGATGATTGATATTGTCTGGGAAGGGACATAACGACATCTCTGGAAGTCAGAACTGTTCTCAGAACTGTTCCCAATCTCAATCTAGATCATGGCTATGGTAATCCATACCGAGTACAAGGATGCTCTGTGCCCTGTCTATATGTAGCAAACCAGAGAGGTGCTTTTTTTAAGGACATAGGGAAATCCAGGCAGGGTTTTAGGTAGGAAGGAGTCAAGAGCAAACAACTTACATTTTAAGAAACGACCCTAGGAGGTCCAGTAGGTGAAGCTCTTGCCAGTGATCCAGTTGAAGAAGGCTTGAGCCAGGAAAGGAGCAAGGAGCTGAGAGCAGCACTCTGATTATAACCCAAGTGGGGAGGTACAGGGGAAGACCTGGGGATGGCAGAGGGCTGGATGGTGAAAAGGCAATAATATTTCAGGACTTGCCTCAATGTCAGAACTATTAGGAAAGGAATGTCGTTCCCAATATTGGAGGAGACCAGCACCTGCAAGGTGGACTTTGGCTTTTGTTGGATTTCCCCTCCGAATTTCCGGTTTTATTTCTTTGCTCCTCACTTCATCCCAGAAGGAGCCCTCTGCTCTGAGAAGTCTTTCAATGTGGGATGAGCTTGGGCATTTCAGTTTGCTGAACCCTTTTGTGAACGGAGTTGGTGGTCGCTGGAAGAATAGAGAGTACTTCGTGGAGTGCATCCAGTCTTCTAAGTTTTCTTCCTCCCTCTATTTGGTCAAATAGTTTTTCCCCCCAGTTCCTGAGGAAGTAACAAGGACAGAGTAATTTAACATCTATTATCTACAATGCTTTTGGAGGGATGACATAATCAGAGGATTCCTCTTCCCAGGAATTTGGATCTTGTCCTCTGACATATCTTGGTTTGGAGTTGGTGAAAGAGCTTGTGGAGAGAGAGAGATGATTATAATCAATTGGGTCCGAATCTAGAGGCATAAGAAGTTTGCAGACTATCTGTCTGCAAATTCGAAACAGATCCTTTCCCTAGGAACTATTCCAAACACCTAGCCTTGAATCAGAAGGGGATTTAGAAGCAAAGAGCTGCCCGCAGCGAATACCTTTAATGCCCTGGTTAGGATCTGATCCTGCTGAACAGAGAACCCAGGAGCCTCCCGCCCTGGGTGTTCCGTGGGGCGGGGGCGCGCTGCGCGCTGCGCCTGGGCGGGTGGCAGCGGCGGCGGCGTGGGCGCGGTGATGCAGGTGTGACACCGGCCGGAGCCTCCCTCCACCAGGATCGCCCCAGCGCCGCTTCAGCCGGAGCTGCGGGCTGGGTTGCCGAGGGGGACGCGGCCTCACACGCACCCGGAGGCGACCGTCGGCGGATTTCCCACCCAGGTAGGGGACTGCGTTGCTTAGCTGCAGTGCGTGTAGACCCAGCCGCGGCGCGGACTCGCGCTTCGGGGCTCCGGCGCTAGCTTGCCTGGGCTGAAGCACACATGCCGGCACCACTGAGTGTTGTTTATAGTTAATGGCACAGAAAGCAGAACGAGTCTTGGAAAGCGCGCAGAAAAGCAAGGACTTGCTGGCTGCTCCAGGGTGCGCGCTTCTTGAAGGTGGGGCCCCCCCAAGGGCTGTTTGTTAAACCTGGCGAACTGTCAGCGTCATAAATAGTTTTGCAACTTAGGCTACTGACATTTATAGCCCGTTTCCGTAGGCTTCCTAGCCACCTCTTTTAGTTTAAATTCTATTCCTGTATTAGAAGGATTTTGTTGTTGGTTTGTTCTTAAAGAATAGATTAAAAACATGCTTATACCTGATGGCTCTGGGTTGGGGTTTGTGTGTATTTCCGTAGGTGGAGGGCGCCCTCCGTGGGTTTGGAAGCCTTTTCTTGTTTCTGGATGGGTTTTAGTGCAAGGAAAAGAACCCGATTTGTTTTGCAGGGATGGGTGAGCAAATGTGTTTAGCTAGGGAAGAGAGAGGTACTGCTGTTTCTTCCGTAGACGGGTCCCGGGTTCAGCAGGGCTGAGGAAACACTGTCATTTATCCAGAAATCGCTTATGCAAACAAGCTCTGTTTCAAGGTAACGTCCGGTGTCTTAGGCTTTGATAATAGCAGCATGGGTGAGGTGAGATGGGTATGCTTGCTTGTTTTCTAAGCCACTCAATGAGTGGTGGATGAGAGGGGACTAGAGGTGTGTGTACATGGAAGTATTAGGCATTGTAGCCAGCTGAGCTGTGGCTCTGGTTTACCTTAGTCTCTTCTATGTTTTTTTTTTTTTTGCTTCCTTTTCCAGAAGAAGTAACTTGTCCTGTTTGCTCTAGTCTGCAGTAGATGCGGTGAGGTTCATTCTGCATCTTTCCTGAGTCAGCAAATACTCCTGAGCACCTTGTATGGGTCAGAGATGGGATTAATCCCTAAGGATGCAGAGATGATGAAAACCAAGTCCGGGACCCCACAAGCTCTCACTTGGAGAAACACCTGTAGTAACAAGGTGTGACAGGTTCAGAGACAGTGAAAGGTGTGAAAATCTTGTGGGTGGTTGCAGAGAGGAGAAGGGAATAATTTTAAAGATGGAGTCGATATGAATTTCAGTACAGACTGGGTCCTTCTCTTGATTCCTTGGTCTGTGAGTGACCCATATCCCTCTCCGACCCCACCACTCTCACTGCCACTGGGTAGGCAGAGTTTTACAAGCCCCAGCAATGCTTGCAGTGATTGCAGTATGTGACTAGACCACAGTAGGCACAGGCTGGCACCAAGGGAGGAACACACCCATTGCAGGTCAGCCTTTTTATTCTTTTTAACAGATGGTTTTCCTAAGTTTCCAGGACTATGAAGGTTTAAAGAAGCACATCACAAAGGCAGGGACTCTGGAAAATTCTTAGATTGTTTTAGAGCAGATGCGCTTCTGTCACCTCCTCCTGGGCCTCTGACTCATTCTGGTCCCAGCTTGCTTCTAAAGGAAAACTCTGACCCCCATCTCCCTAAATGGGTGGCCTAAAGGAGAGCTAAAGGCATGACTACAATTATGCACTGGGAGAGGAGAATCCAACCTTGAGGTTGTTTCTTTCTGGACAAAAGCTGCCGTGGGTGATGAAAATGATAGAATGAAGAACTCCTGGGTGAGGCAGTTTTTCTAGAGATGCCTGTTAAATGCACTCTGTAACCTAAACCATCATCAAGGTATTTGAAAAGCAGGCTGGCACACTGCAACGAGTATGGACTCTGACGGTCCGTCGAAGCTGGGGAGTGTCTTGAGCAAGTTACTTAGTCTTTCTTTGAACTTTGATTTCCTGATCTGTAATGGAGACAACAGGGTTGCTAGGCTAATTATATAAAAGATACCTAAAGTATTTGTTCATTGCTAAAAAAGTGTCATATATAAATCGCCTGGTGCAGAGTGGGTGCTCAAAAATGGCAGTTCACTTGTCGAGTTCCTAACCTGTGTCAGTCACTGCTGCATGTGGGAGGAATACAAACTGAACAAAATAAAGCCCCTACTCTCAAGGAGTGTGTGTGTGTGTGTGTGTGTGTGTGTGTGTGTGTGTATGTGTATGTGTGTGTATGTGTGTGATAATGGACAAATAAATATAGCATACTAGCTGATGAGACATTGTAATGGAGAGAAAAAAAGCACAGTGAGAAGAATACAGAATGCTACTGCAGGGCAGAGTGGGGCTTGTTGTTGTTGTTGTTATTATTATTATTATTATTTCTGACCAGGGAATGCTTTGCTGGCAAGTGATATTTGACCAGACCAGAGGGAAATGAGAGAAGAAGCACCTGTAAAAGCTTGAGGCAGGAGAGAGACATGTTCATAAAGAACCAGAAAGGAGGCCAAGCAGGCGGAGTGGAGTGAGTGAGAGGTCAACTGCAGGAGTTGAGGTCAAAGGGGTAACATGACAGATCACTGAGCTATTATTGCCTCTTCTGATTTATGTTCGGCCCTAAAATGTATGGGCTGAGTTCTGGTTTAAGGAATTGGCTGACATCCTAAACTCTGTGTTTAGAAGAAGGTGGGTTACCAAATATAGGTATCTGTGGTCACTCAAAGCTTAAACTAATGCAGCAAGCAGAAGACATGAGTGTTCACAAGGAAATGGAAATTAGGGAGACAGAGTGACACAGTGTTCAGATTTCTTTCATCTAGAGTGAGGACAGTATTTGTGCTTCTTTTCTTTTCCCTTATGAAAGAAAGAGTCACCTTTAGTGACAGTCCAGCAGTATTGTCCTTGCTAGTTATTATTCTCTTTTTCTTTGAGAATGAGAAGAGTTTCTATGGTTATAAAAAAGTATTGGGATCCTCTAGAAATACAATGGGTTTCGGTGTATCATGGAATGCATTTATGTAATATCGTGATGAATTTATTTGGTGCTTCTATTTTATGGGCTTAATATAAAGATCACAATGTGCAGCTGTGTCCCTTTGAGACTTTGTTCCTCTAGAGAAAGCACCTTTTTGGGATTTGAGAGCTCTATTGCACGGCTGCCTTGGTGCAGTAGGGCTACTGCAGTGTGTTGCATGGACAGAAATAGAGTTGATGCCTGAGCACCTTGTCAAAGTTTCTGTGACATAGGATGTGGTAAGGCTGGGTCAAGGTCAGGGTGTCTGGCTGGGTACCCGCCAACCCACCTCAGAGGGTGTACTTCCCTCATCCAATGTCTGCCTTTCAGTTTTGCTGCCTCAGAAACCCAATATGTCTCTCTGGACTACATCACTGTGACTTTGTTCGCCTGTATGACAGTCTATTGATTTGCAGTGACTGTGACACTGTGTGGCCTGGCTAGTGTGTCTTGTTCCTGCAGACTCCCTGTCATGAGACCCAAACCACAAGGGAAATGTTCCCGTATGCATGTTTATTCCGAGCAGAGAAGCTTAGATGCCCATCTAAGGCTGATCTTACCATGGGACTATGGAAAAAGCCACCCCCAAACTTAGTGGCCTAAAACAAAAGTCATTTAATATTCTTCCACGGCTATGGTTGGCTGGGCAGTTCTGCAGGTCTGACTTGTGCTTGGTTGCTCTCAGCTGTGCTCACCCTGGTGATTTTGGTCTGCTGAGGGAGGTTGGTCTGAGCTGGGATGGTTTGCTCTGGTTTCTGTGGGTCCTTCATTCTCCCAGGGGCTGACCCAGCATGTTTGCATGGTAATGACAGAGGACCAAGAGAGAGAAGTTTACATGTTCTCTTGTTTTTACCAATGAAAATAAAACGTGAGGCAGCTCGAGTGAGGCTAAAGAAACAGACCCCGAATCTTTCTGGGAGAAGCTACATAGTCCCATGGCACAGAGATGGGTTCAGGAAGGGGAAGCATTTGGAATATTTTTGCATCTACCATAAGAATCTTAAAAGTCCCCTCGGATAAATTTTTTTTTTTCTCTTTGACTTTGCTTGAATGGGTAAAGCCTGTTCTTGACTGGTGACTCCCTGTTTCCTGTGTTTCCATGGCTGCCCATCTATAGATATATGTGGGTCATTCATTTACCAAATATTGACTGAGTGTTCTCTATGTGCCAGAATGTGATAGGCAGGGAAAAAACAGCAGTTTTCAAAAAGCCATGAAGCATTTGTTTTAGTTACAGAGACAAGTAATATGTAACAAAATAAGTAAATATGTGATATATAAGGTGCTTAAGGAGCATCAGTCAGGGAAAAGAGAATGGGGTGAGTGCCTGGTTGATCAGGAGCGGAAGGCAGGGACAGGAAGGGCTGGGTTATAAGAGGTGGTTGGGGAGACGAAGAAATGAAAGTGTGAGCCAGATGGATATCTGGGGAAAGACCTTCCCAGATATGGAGAACAAGAATGCAAAGGCTCTGAGTCCTCTGAGTAATTCGTGTGTCCTGCAGAAGGAAGTGAATGAGACTGGGTCAGCACAGTAGAAGACGAGCCCAGAAACGGAGCAGCCTTGGAGAGACTTTGGCTTTTACCTTGAATGAGATGGGAAGCCACTGAAAAATTCTGAGCCGGTTAGCTGTTACCTGATACGTGTTTTATAATGATCACTTGAGCTTTAGAGCTTAGGATAGACTCTGGGGGTCGGGCATGAGAGGACCCAGGGAGATCAGCCAGGTGAGAAATGATGGTGGTCTGGACCAGGTGGGATCATGGTTGAGACAGTGAGATATGGCCAAATTCTGGGTAGATTTGATGGCAGAGTAAACAGGATTTGCTGATGAATTAGTTTGGGGCATGAACAGGGATGACTCGGTGAATTTTGACTTGAGCTACTGAATGAATCAACTCTTTGCTAAGGTGCACAAGGAGCTGTTATGGGGTTTAATTGGACATGCAATGGTAGATGTTAAGTCCATGGTTGTATATAAAAGCCTAGAGTTCAGGGAAGAAGTCCAGGAAGGAGACTTACATTTGAATAACATCAGCATATTATTTCTTTG